TCTTGGTGGATTTTATGAGCAGTTATAGTTTTTAGAGGGTTTTTCTAGTATTGGAGAGTTTTTGAAAAATTAAGAATATATATATTGGACGTGGGACCCACTAGTGCGAAAAGTTCAGAAAAATTCGGCCAATAAGGTTAAGTTTCGGATACGGTGTAAAATTTATCGGGTGTTAAGAGATAAGTAGAGAGTGAGATTTGATTGATGTGAGAGGAAAGAGAAAGATAAGATTGCATTTATGAAGGTGACAAGTGTCACCACTACATTGGTTTTGACTTAAGAGTTACTATTCACCTTTTTGACTTTTGACCCATTTGAGTTAAATATCTTCAAAAATCACTAAAAATTCACCATTTCTTTCCTTTGATGGCCGGCCCTCTCTCTTGCAAGTAGGAAGAAAACTCTTCAACATTTCAAGCTTCCAACTAGCTCAATCTTCCAAAATCAATCACATAAATTAGTTTCTACTCCATATAATCTTGCCTTTTTGTGTTAGTGGTGAGTTTGGTGAAGTTTTTGGAAGAGCTAAGGTGGTCTACAACTCCTCTTCTCTTGTTTCCTAGGTAAGTGATGGTTGAACATCTTACTACACCTAATGATGCTTATGTGATGTTTAGTAGTAGCTAAAGTGATGGATTATGTGAATTATTTCTTGATTTGAAGTGATTTTGTGAAGTTTTTATATTTTTGAGGAATTTTCTGGTTTAATATGAATGAGATGTTGTGGTCATCTATGATGGTTGTTAATGAGGGGTAATGACTCATGTGGGTGTGAATTGGTGATAATAGCAACTAATTGTGGGTTTGGTTTGAGTTATGAAAAGTTAGGGTTCTTAAACCCCTAATTCTGTCCGGTTTTGGATCATAGGGTTAGAGGCCGAATTGGACTTTGCTCAAAACATAAAAGTTGTAGGTATTGATGAGTTTGAAGTGCCTACAAAATTTCAGGTCATTTGGATTAGTGTAGAGTGAGATATGTCGATTTTACTGTTGCTGTTCTGGGTTGATCAGAATGCGAAAACTGCACTTGTAATTGGCCATTTTGACTGGAATTGGTTTGGATTTTGTTGTTGGTGTCTTCTGATGAAATGTAGCTGGATCTCTTAGCTATCATATGCCTTTGGAATCAATGCATTTGGACTTGTGTAGACTGAAATAGACTAATTACAGTTTTGTGTGATTTGTAAACCTGCAATTACGGTTCAGGTTGTGGTATTCTGCATATTTGAACTAGTTGTGCTAGGATTTGGACTGAGTGGTCTTCTACATTGTTGTAGCCCTGTCTTTTAGCTTCGAAATGGTGGGTCTTACACCTTCATCCGATAATCATAGGGCATTTGGTGCCATTACCGCAAAAAGAGGTCAAACACCGTTTTTCAAGGCCAAAGCTAATTGCATTTCCGAAATTTCTGGTTTCCTTTAATGTTTGTATTTGTTTATGAAACCCTATTGGGGTTGTGATTGGCATGGCTTTATGATTAGTTATCGAGTCTCATTGTATTTGTTTACATGTTTTAAGGCTTACTCTTATTCCGGTCATTTCCTAGTTAACTTTTATTTTGAGCCTAGTTAACGGCTTTTGGGAAATGAGATGACTTTTGTGTGAAATGTTGGAACTGATTTGAGGAAATAATGAAGCCTTAATGGCTGGAAAAGTAAGAATTTTAGGGGAGGTGCTGCCCGATTTTCTAGGCCGTTTGGTTCCTTTAAGTTGGATTTGCCTTTTGGTGGATATGAAAGGCTTTTGGGTTGTTTGCGCCTAAGTCTTCATGTTACCTTTTCGTTTCCAAGAAAATCATGTTTTGCACCCTTGCATTAGTAATTATTTGGCGAGGCATACGACTAGTAGTCGAGCCTCACATGTGCATTCTGTTTACTCGATTCTGGAAGTAAAACCTTCAATTGGTTTATTTTGATTATTTTAGGGTTTCTTGGCGATTAAGGCCAATCTGAAGTGAAAACTTTTGAAGTTGAGCCGGTGAGTGTTCCACTACCTGCTACCCGTTATGTGAAATATCTGAATATCTGAATACTTGATTTATGACTATTGAAGCCAAATACTGTTTTGATGAAATGGAGGCGAGAGTGTACTTTATCACACTCGTTCTCTGGTCTGTTCATATGCCCATTTTGAACGCGTATCTGAATCTGCTATCTGTATCTGTATCTGTATCTGTTATCTGTATCTAGATCTGTATCTGTTCTGACGTCGTTTGGAAGCTTGAGTCCAACGACCTTTCTGTGACCTATGAGCTCAAATCCTGTGGCGAAGTTATTCGAGTCGGGCCGGCAAGGGCCTGGACGATTAGATAACGAACCACGGTAGTCTGTTTTGGGATCTTTGGGTATTGAGACCCTTGATTCCGGGTATACTCGAGTATTACCATTTCTGTTCGGTTACGGTGAGCGGGCCCGGTAAAGGGGTGTTTGGTGGACGAAATTCGGTGTAAAGAGGGGTCTACGGACGTGTTGGTTCTATATACGTTGACGGAGAGTCAACTGGTTTGGATCAAGTACTGCGCTGGAAATTTGGCTCCTGAGAGCCACCCGTATCCTTCTGATTTGAATCATTGGTTCCTTTGCTTTACATCTGACATGTGTATCTGATTTGTTAAATGTGAAATGCCATGACTTTAATGCTATCTGTTTGGTATCTCATTGAGCGCAAACTCACCCCTTTCTGTTCCTTTTGTTTTCCTTACAGGAAAATAAACACTTTTGGTCTGGATTTGACAAATGGCTGCCAAACTGAGCTAGTTGAACATATCTTTTGTATAGCTCATGTACTAAAACCCTAAGTGTACTTTTGGGGCGTTTTCTCTTTTGATTTGGCAAACAGTGTATATGTATCAACTTTTGAAAACTTTTGTATGTCATTCTGATTTGTAATCGCTAAAGTTCAGATGTGAATGTTTGTTAGTTATTTCGGTTGGGTTCTGACGGGTCGGTTACTATTCATGGCCTACTCCGAATTTCTTTTATTTTGGGTCATTTTACCATTTTGACTTGTTTATGCTCGTTTGTAAGTCCGGAATGAAGCTGATAGCTCTAATCTGATCCGTAGTCCTGGCGAGAGCTGGGCAGGCAGTCCGCTAACCCCTTTGGTTCGCCTTAGGGGAAAGTGGGGCTGTCACACGGGATACATGCATTTCGGAAAACAACTTCAGTAAGTTTGGAAGGGAAGTTGTTTTCCATAAGATGAGTGAAAATATTTTACATAGGAAAATGTTTTCAGTAACTTTTGTGCAATCAAACACGGGAAATCAGGAAAATATTTTCCTGGAAAATATTTTCACCCGAAACAAACGGACCCTTAGTTGAAAGCCTTTGAAGATGATATAGCTAAGGCTTGACGTAAGAATAAAAAGGACAAGAAGAATAAAGCCATGTTTGTTTATCTCTTTCTTAATCTTAAGGGCTGATTTATTCCTAAAGTGGTGCTTCAGCTCTAACTATGATACTAATTTTCGAAAGTGAAGAAAGAATAAATCATTTCAACTTTCTTTCTACAAATTCCCAACCAAAGGGGTGCAAGGAATGTAGAAAAAAGCATTACTTCCAATTCAATCAACCTGAACGCTGGCCAAGGTCTTCCTTCCTATATAGTAAATCCTTCTCTGGCTCCAAAAGTTTACGAAGTTAAAACCATTCTTCTACTCAGAACCATATAAAAAGAAGCTAAAACCCTGCCTCCTCCTCCTCCTTCTTGAAAAAAAAAAACTATAAAATGATAGAAACTGTTGTCTCTTTTGTTTCAAATCATCTCGCAACCTTGCTCCTAGAGGAGGGAAGCCTATTGGGAGGGCTTCGACAAGAGGTCCAACTCATCCTTGATGAGTTGGGGCTTATGAAAGCTTTCCTCAAAGTGGCTGAAGCAAAAGAAGATGATGATCCCAGGTATAAGTGGCAAACCAATCCATTTAACTAAATTTACTCGTACCCGTTCATGAATAGATGGGTATAGGTATCTTAAATTTTTTTTATATGGATATAAATGGGTTATCCAATAATATCCATTTAAAAAATGGGTATTATTGGATAATCCATCAAAGCTAATTAACTCATTTAGAATTCTCTTCCCCCAAGCCTCTTCTCTTCCCCCACCCATTTTTCTTTTCAGATTTTTCATTTTGTCATGATGTTAACTACTTTTGTTTCATTATTATTATTATTTGTTGGTTTATCTTATTATTTATTTTCTCTTAGTTTGTTAACTTACTCATTTTTCAGCATTACCAATTTAAGTTTTAGCATCTTTTCTTATCTTTTTAAAATGAAATTTTAAATTTATATATGAAAAAAATGTTAGAGGTTCAAAATTTTTGGATTAAGTTTTTATATTAATTTTTATAGTACTTAGTTCAAATTTTCATATTCTTATTATTTAATTATTAAATAATATGTAATTTTGTGACATAGAGTATCAATGGAAAAAATTGGTAATTAGACTTATTGAGTATTATAAATAAATATTTAAAACTAATAATGGGTACAAAGAGCGGTATAAATTGATAACTTAGTTTGCAAAAAAGAATTTAAATAAGTTTACAAAAAGTTAAAATAAATGGGTTATAAATAGGTAATTGGGTTACCCAATTCATTTTTTGACTTATCCATTGATACCCATCTAATTAAATGAGTATAAATGGATTGACTCACTTATATCCATTACCCATTTTATCTAAGCTAAACCCGCCCAAGTCACGCATTTTCACACCTCTAATCCCAGGCTCCAAGAATGGATCAAGCAAGTGCGCGAAGCTGCTTATGACATTGAAGATGTTCTCGATGAATTTGTACTTCGCTTTGCTGGCTACCGACATCATGGATTCTGTGGTTCTCTGCAGAGAATTCTCAAAGCCATTAAGAGCTTGCGAGCTCGTCATCAGGTTGCCAGTGAAATTCAAAGCATAAAGTCCAGGATCAAAAATATTTCAAAAGGACGTCAGAGATACCAAGTTGAATTTGGTATCGATGACCGTGTCACTGGATCTTCAACCATGAACGACTCATGGCGCTATAGCAGGGATGATGCACTTCTATTGGAGAAAGCAAAATTTGTTGGCATTGACCAGCCCAAACAACATCTGATTTCTAAGCTTCTCGAGGGGGACGATCACCAACTCAAAGTTATTTCAGTGGTCGGTATGGCTGGAGTAGGGAAAACTACCCTGGTCAAAAAGGTCCATGAAGATCCATATGTTAGAAAGAATTTCCCAGTTCGTGCCTGGGTAACCGTCTCTCAAACATGCGACTTTCCAAAGTTCTTGAGAGACTTGATTTGGCAGTTGCACAAGGAAGTGAACAAATCAGTCCCACAATTCATCGAGTCCATGACTACCGCTGAGCTGAAAGAATTTGTCAAAGATTTTCTTCAAAAAGATGGAAGGTATGCAATTGTGTTTGATGACGTGTGGAACGTGGAATTTTGGAATGAAATCAAATCTGCACTGCCTGAGGCTAACTACGGCAATCGTGTCATGCTAACAACACGAAAAGCTGATGTTGCCTCTGCATCTTGCACAGAATCTCAGGATTATGTCTACAAAATGGAGCTACTATCAATTGAAGACTCGTGGACCCTATTTTGTAACAGGATCTTTAAAGGAAATCGTTGCCCCGACCACCTGATGGATGTTGCAAAAGCTGTATTGGATAAATGTGAGTGTTTGCCTTTGGCGATTGTTGCTATCAGTGGGCTCTTGGCTTCGAAGGACATGAGCAGAATAGATGAATGGGAGATCGTTCAACGCAGTCTTGGGGATGAATTAGAAGGAATAAGTAAGATAGAGGGAGTTAAAAGGATACTTTTTCTGAGTTACAATGATCTGCCTTCGCATCTGAGACCCTGTCTGTTGTATTTAAGCATTTATCCGGAGGATTATCTAATAGAATGCAGTACGCTGATTCCCTTATGGATTGCTGAAAGATTTGTAGAATGGAGAGAAGGAATGAGATTGAAGATGTAGCCTGGGGCTATCTCGTTGAACTCATCAGGAGAAGCCTAATTCAAGTAACTGAAGTGTTTTATGAAGGATCACCTTACACTTGTCGAATCCATAACCTATTGAGAGAAGCTATTCTCATCAAGTCAAGGGAACAAAACATGGTCACGGTTACTACTGGACAACCAATGATGTGGCCATCTGAGAAGGTACGCCGTCTAGCAATCCATAGTAGTAGTAACAGTAGCAACATCCAATACCACCAACAAAGACAATTGTATTCCTTTGAACACCTTCGATCATTCATCACAGTTAGTTCCACCAACCCATTACTATCCAAAACTTTCTTATCTGAAGTTCTAAGGAGTAGCAAGTTGCTAAAGGTTTTGGATTTGAAAGGTGAAGAGATAAAGGAAACACCAAATGAGATTTTCAACTTGTTGCATCTCACGTATATGAACCTATATGGTACAAAAGTGGCAAGAGTCCCGAGAGCTATTGGAAAGCTTCAACATTTGGAATATCTGAATTTGGGGAACACTGGAGTTAGGGAATTACCCGTGGAAATCCTAAAGCTGCTAAAGCTTCAGCATCTCGTAGTAGTCGCAGCAGTTGATCCTTTAGATGATGATTGTGGATATTATGGGTTTAAAGGGCCGTCAGAATTGGGAAGGCTTCTCGCTCTACAAACATTAAACACCATAGATGCAAGCAGCGGGTCTATAATAGTTAAAGAGATAGGAAAATTGACCCAATTAAGAGAGTTATATATTACACAGTTGATAAGAGAAGATGGAAATGAGCTCTGCTCCTCCCTTGTCAACCTCACCAGTCTTAGGGAATTAAGAGTTGATTCAGTTGGAAAAGGTGATGATTATGGGATAATTGATCTAAATCATCATCAACATTCTCTTTCTTCTTCTTCTTCTTGTTTGTTTCTTCAATCTCTTCGTGTGCTACTTATGTGTGGCCGCTTAGAAACGATGCCAGTATGGATAACTCATCTTCAAAACTTGGTAAGAATAGATATGACCTGGAGTGGGTTAAGGGCTGAGGAGGATCCGCTTGAATCTCTCCAACATTTGCCCAATTTGGATGCAATTAGTTTCTGTGGATCTTACCAGGGAGAAAGGTTGCGTTTCAAGGCTGGCGGGTTCCTAAAGCTGAAACGGTTGTGGTTAAGGAGAATGGAAGGGTTGAAATGGATGAAAGTGGAGGAGGGTGCGTGCCCAAATCTCCAAAGACTAATTCTAGATCGACTTCCATTACTAGAGGACTTACCTTTGGGTATTCAGCACTTGAGCTATCTTCAAAAGCTGTATTTGTATGAGATGAGTTCTCGAATAATGGAAAAGGTCAAGAATCAGGAGGAAGAAAGTGAAGATTACAGAAGAATGACACACATTCCTGAAATTGTCATTGGTTTCTATGCCCATGACGGGGAATGGAGAATCCGCCGGCTATGGGGGTAGAAGAAGAAGAAAACTATCCTTGCCTAGCACTTGCAGCATCCCGTGGCTTTCCTTTCTCTTTGTTTGCTTTCCCTCCCTTTTGTTGACGATCCTGCTTTCTCTTCTTCTTCTTCTGTTTTTCTGAGAAGTGAATTTTCTGATGTTTTCTATCTTCTCCACTACTTGTAGTATGGTGCATTGCATCATCATCTTGTTCATATGCTGCATTTTGTTAATGTATTTTTTTTAACTGTTTTTCTTTAATTTTAACTTCAGCAAATGACGCACTCTTACCTACCTCCCCAGATAAGCGCTTGTGAGATCATGAGCTCAATGATAACTATTTATTGTCTTTCAACAATAACTGCCAGATACTTGATTTCTAGTTGTACAAGGTAGATTAGTCGTATTTTTTTTTGTATTGTTGTGTTTGGTGGGGGGGGCAGTCAACTTAGCAACACTGGAAGGCCAAACTTAAGCTCTTTCCAGTACTGGTATGGCAGCAATTTCATTGTATATATACAGCATAAAAGAGACAGAAATTTAGGCTTAATGAAAACATGTAAAATGACGGGTTCCATTTGTGGAGTGTTTCATAAGCAGCCTTTTGGTTGAACAAAGCCTGAAGAAGTTCCAGCAACATTGGAGCATGATACCTGAGCTGGTTGATTCATATATCTGAGGTTGGCATCTTGCAATCTTATGCCACTGCAGGGGGAGTCCTTGCTGCAACCAATTGCTATAGCTACTTGTGATGATGATGTTCCTTGAATTTGCTGATAAGTCACATCACTAATCTTTACACCAGGACCCTGAAAATGGAATTCCAAATATTGAGAAAGGGAAGCCAAGAAAACAAGTTTGGAGGATGCAGGTAGGACTTGAGACAGTGAAATACATTCATCTAAACTCGTTTTGTTGTAACACCTACCTGATTTGGACAACTATTTTTGCTTGGACAATAACTTTGGTCGATGACAATAGGGTATCTCACATTCAGCATTACTGCATTTTGGAAAAGGATCCTCTTAACAAATCCATTGCTACGCCTTGCCCAAGTCTTTATCCTCAATCCATTTTGTGTATCTCTGAAAGTAACAGTTTTAACAGTCACATTTTGTACTCCAGGTTCTTGCATATCCCATCCTAGACTCCAAATGCTGCACCAGATTAATTTCAGAATGCACATCCACTGCTATTCATTTTAAAAAACCATAATTCTTTGATGCTAAACATAAATTATTTATTTTACCTTATTCGATGGCCAGGGCCACAAGAAACATTCTCAATCCACAAATTGGAGGTGCCAGGGCCAATTGAAAAGCAATCGTCCCCTGTAGCTATGTTAGAGCCCAATATGGTAACACCTGAGGACCCTGATATAAATGCCATCAGTATTTGGACTAGTGGCTGAGGCTGAGATCTTCGTTCCTTGTAGCTTAGCATTTTGACAGCTGAAGAGGTGATTTTTGGTGGGTAGTTGGACCGACCTAAATCAACTCTCTCTGAGACGAGGTGAATTCACTTGTCCGAAGTGGATGGCAGGGCTTCTCCCCTGAGATCATTCCGACGATCAAGTTAGTATGAGAACGAGAAAAATAGAGGTATGAGTGAATGAACAGTATGCTTACTTGTTGGGAGTGTGTGTGGGATATTTATAGAGTGGGAGTGGAAGGTAGGATGGAGGGCTCATGCTGGCGGGACCCACGACCTGGCATTACGGCTCTGTTCCTTGTCAGGAGGCCTGACTCTGACACTGTAGCCGCCTGGGCAGGATGACGAAGAGTATCGTGCAGGAGTCATTAAGTGCTTCCAGTACTTTTCAGATAAAGCACTGGTCCCCGGTGATGTCAGGCGGCTTGACATCATCAGCGTGCAGCTGAGATGGAAGTGCCGAGGTCACCTACACGGTAGACTAGGGACCTGACCGAGCTCAGGGGTTATGCTCAAGACACGACTGAGCTCTGATGAGGGACGAGATGGATTCACCTCGGACATGCGGGGTGGCCGAGGTGAGCATCCTCAATAAGCCCCCCAAACCCCGGGAGCTTCGGGCCAGGGAGGTACCGAGGTTTCCTTGTGCCGAAGTCGTAAAGAGTCGGGGTCCCGAAACTGCTCCGGAAGATGCGGGGACGTGACACGTGGGCGAATCAGTTGATAGGACGTGGTCACTGGTAACCGTCGCATCGTGAAGTAGTGAGACGTTTCGTGCAGAGGGTGTCAGCCGAAAGGACGGGGCATTAATGAGGAGAGAGAGAGAAAAGGCACGGCATTTTGAATTCGAACGTGGCCGCCTTTTCGCATTCTGGCCGCCTCTTCGGGTTCTCCTGAACCCCTATAAATAGGAGGTCTTTTTCACCGCATGGCCCATCACTTTCTTTCTTTGCCTCAGGTTTGCAAATTTGAGCGCTGCCGAGGTTCATTTTGTTAGCCGAGATCAAAGCCGAAGTCATCACCGCGTCCGATACCGTAGTCGACAGTAAGTATTTTTCTTTCCATCTCGTCTTTCATACATGGCCAAAACAGCCAAAACACATAAAGAAACCGTGAAACCGAGCTACCAGGCCGAGGTGAGGCCAGATCCTTTGGAAGAGGCGACTACGTCCAGCTCTGAGGGGTCAACGTCCCTCATCAGAGCTCAATCGTGTCTTGAGCATAACCCCTGAGCTCGGTCAGGTCCCTAGTCAACCGTGTAGGTGACCTCGGCACTTCCACCTCAGCTGCACGCTGATGATGTTAAGCCGCCTGACATCACCGGGGACCAGTGCTTTATCTGAAAAGCACTGGAAGCACTTAATGACTCCTGCACGATACTCTTCGTCATCCTGCCCAGGCGGCTACAGTGTCAGAGTCAGGCCTCCTGACAAGAAACAGAGCCGTAATGCCAGGTCGTGGGTCCCGCCAGCATGAGCCCTCCATCCTACCTTCCACTCCCACTCTATAAATATCCCACACACACTCCCAACAAGTAAGCATACTGTTCATTCACTCATACCTCTATTTTTCTCGTTCTCATACTAACTTGATCGTCGGAGTGATCCCAGGGGAGAAGCCCCGCCATCCACTTCGGACAAGTGAATTCACCTCGTCTCAAAGAGAGCTGATTTAGGTCGGTCCAACTACCCACCAAAAATCACCTCTTCAACAGCCGTAAAGCATAACATGGAACATTTGGCTGTTCAGTGACGTTAATTTGCTGATGACTGTTATTTGAATTGTAGAATGCCAATGTCTGCAGCACATATTACCACATTAATACAAGAACCAGAAAAAAGGAATAGACAAGAAAAAATATGTCAAGAAATGAATGGTTGGAATCATGCATAATTATTCAGCCCATGTGATATATAATGTTTGTGTTTGGGAAGTAATCCTAGTACTAATTTTTTATGAGTACAGCATTAGGTTTGTTTATTGTGCATACCGTTGCACCACCGGGACAGTTACTCTTGGAGGCTTTGCAGTTCCAAACTCCAAAGACTACTGCCTTGTCAATCTAAAGTTCCGCCAGAAATTGTCACTCCATTGACTCTTTAAAACTTGAGCCAGTTGCCAGCATAGCCAATGGTACGATAATTCGAGGGAGCCACAAGAGTACCATCTATACATATTTTAATCGCATTATTATTGCATTTATTTCCCCAGAATGATGCAGCCCCGAGCAAGTATCTTCCCCGCGGTACATAAATTGTTGCAGACTTTACTGAAGCACAAGCTGCTGCCCATGCACTTAGAAAGGCCTTTGTCGAATCGGTCTTTCCATCAGGTTTGGTTCCAAACTTTTGCACATTATATGTGATCGTGGAGGCTGATGATAAGAAGAAGAACAAAAAGGACAATGCGAGTGACGGGTTTTCTTGGATAAGCCATTTCCCTAGCTCTTTGCTATGGGAGAAGATATGAGAACTAGGGATGGTGCTGGTACTGATCAAGCTTTGAAGAACCCTTTTATAGACAGGCATCCAACACTGCAAGCAGGTATGCAACCTCAGCCCAATCATCTTTACTTATTAGTACATTTTTTTTGGACGTTTCATTTGCTTTTCAACTGTAATTGTTCCACTTTTGATGAATGCTCATATGATTAATTAAGACAATGATTAAGTTGTAAAGGGGGCTTGTACTTTATAAGTCATGCATCTTATAACCTTGACATAACATGCATTTTATGAGTACAATTCATTCTGATGCCTCGAGATGCATCAATTGTGAGGGACAAGTGCAGTTGACCTTGATTAGAAAAAAGCAAGAAGAATGTGAAGAAGACTTTTGTGTTTAGTACTACTGCTAATAAGCAAGATCACATGCTGCCTTCACTAAATTTTGGTTCATGCTCTCAGATAAGAAAATAATGGTCAAATGAGAGAGGATACAAGAAGTACAACCGTATAGCATATTAGCATGTGCCCTAGTGTTTGATCAAAAAAAAAATTAAGAACATAAGCACTTGCATTAGTTGCATAATAAGTTCTTGCCTATAACAATCAGCTTATAAATGATTAAACGTCTGTGATTTCTGTGCCCACAGATTACAAATACAACTACCAGATGCATAAAAATAATAGAAATCACTATTGAGAGAAAGACAAGAGCAAAGACCGGTAATAAGAAGGAATTGAGAAGGATAGATGGCAGATGGGCTAGAGTACCACATGAAGAACACTAGAACATAATTTTCTCTTGCTCTGACAGGGGACGTCTCAAAACTTTAACTCATTAAGTATGTTTAATTTGTTCTATTTAAGTTTAAATTTTACAAGTAGGTCTAGACTTTAAGACATCATTATGTTAATTTTATTAAGTTGTTCATTTAAGCTTAATTTATACAAGTACGTCTAGACTTCAAGACATCATTGTATAAGCCTGTTATGTTATCTTGCCGTGTCTAACTGGACGTTGGAGGTGCAAAACATCAATAGGTTAAATCCAAAATCTTGTGTATACACTAATAGTTGTTAGCTTTAGTTTAACTGAATTAACCTTATATGTAGCCCGCAGAACTTATTAAACTGGATTATCCA